AAAAAAAAAAAAAAAAAAAAAAAAAAAAAAAAAAAAACCAAGAACAGAAACTAGGTGGTGCATCCACTGACTGTGACAAGCTCATATATGATACGTAGCGGTCTTATCCTAAAGGCATCCATGTAACCATTGAAAATAACAACATAACGCCATTCCTTTGTACCTAGCCTTCGTTTTGTACACTTACGTTTTTCATTATCTAAGTTTGGAAAACCATAAAGAATTTAGACCTCTATACCACTAGTAGAATGTTCAAGTCTCTATAGATAAAGAATTCAAACCTCAATAGATAAGTTATACCCTATATCATTAAAGCATATAAGTGACAGACAGAGAATAGAACTTGGAAGCAACAGAAACTCCAATCTACAAAAAAAAACAACCTTCCCATGTCCACTGTTTTCGAACCATATTAAACATAAATAATATCTAGAACTTCTCATTGTTCGATGTTATCGTTCAATCCCAATCACTAAGAAAACTAATTACATGAAAGTTGTAGTGGACATACGATGAATGAAAGGTGATCCAAGTTCCTCAAATTCGATGAGTCTCAGATGCTTCAACGACACATCCGTACCCTGTCTTGCGGAATATGCCAAGAGAATCATGTATCATGTGACTTCTTACACTATGCTACTTGAGCAAATAAAAATCGATTATGCAATACAAGTAACAAAAGCAATGTCAAATACCTCACCTCAAACACATCCAAGCTTCTTCATGTTCTTCATTGCCAGTAATTAAGAACAGGATTTTGAATCTCTACAAGCCAATAATACTCAGTCACTATGACACAATCTTATAGATTGGGAAACAAACAGTGATCGCTGTATGGAAAGCAACTAATTATCAGCATGGAGTCGAAAGTGAAAACTCCGTCAGCTTATAATATTTATATAAACGCAAAAACATACCAATTCCAAATTGATGATATTATTGGCAGATGATCACAGTAGGAACAGTGGGATAGGCGCACACCGGAATCCACAGTTCATTTCCATTAACTGTATCTATCATGTCATTCGAAGTTTTTCACCTACAGTTCTTCCATGCCTCAAAGGTCAAAATTCATGACTATATATTCTAAAAAAAGGATTTCATTTTTAATGCAACTTCACTTTAAAAAGAAGAAAAAAATTGTATCAGTTAAAATCCAGTGCATGCTCGTGTGTATCGTTTAAGAAGCACTTAGTACAAAGAAGATAAAAGCAGTTCACAAAAGCTTCGGATCCGAGAGTTTGGTAAGAAGTTTCTGGTGTCTAATTGTCGAAATCGACAACAATAGTTTCAATCTGACTTGAGATAGCAACTTTGTAATGCAGTTAGCCAGTTTCGATGATATAGCGTAATATAAGAACTGCAACGCAGTGATGCGCTAATCACCACCTCGAACAGATATACCTTCATTTTTGTAGGTGCTCGTAACTTCCGGCTCAGTCACTTAAAAGATCAATACCATCAGCAAAGCCATAGATCTCAATGTATGAGTTACTTAGAAGTCTTAAGGCAGGGCACATTAGTCATATAAACGTTCGATTTATCATTGCACTAGAGGTATGCATATCGCTCTAATTAGAAAGTCGTACAAATAATTTCTTTCAGAAAGCAAAAAAACTAATCAACACATTCTATTATTCCAAACCTAGCGATGATATTAGTTTGAATTCGTCTTCCAAGACAGAAGACATAGAAATGGATAGTGAAGCATGTAACTCAATTCATTGTCAGATAAGTTCATTCGAGTGACTAATTAAACCATAACTTGAGAATGCAAGAAAGATTCGGAACTCGAACACTCACCAGAGCAAGCTTCGATTTCTGATAACCAAAAAGATCCTCAAAGCGCAATCGATCGAGATCATTACCTTCTATGAACCTCCGAGGAATCCTCTGCGGCAAGAACACCGAAGTCATCTGACTCTCCAGAAACAACGAAACAATGAACAACATGAGCAACGAAAAGCCAGCAAAAAACGAAGAACGCTCTCCTTCTAAACGCAAACCAGTAGCGATCCAACCAGGTTTGATCGAGAACGCGAGATAAGGCAATCAGACGACACATTGCCTTGCTCCTGGTGCTGCTTAAGATTTCACCTCGAAAGAGAGCGGTCACTGAACGTAATGAAGCCGAGACCACCGAATCCGGAGTCATCTCCGTCGCCATCAACCGACAGAAATGACTCCGGCACGATGGAGTAGATTGAACGAAACCTTCGCCTCGTAAAAAATGGCGGGAAACTGTACTGTTTGAAGCTTGGTTGTCAAGGGAACAAGAAAGCGAGAGTAGCGCGAAGTGAAAAGAATGAGTGATTCGTTTTCAGCGTTCCGTTTCGCTTTTATACCCCTCTAGTTATAGCCGACTTCGACTACAAGAATTTCCGTCTTGTCAAAAATTAATAAATAAACAAAAATATCTCCCTCCATCCTTAATTCAATAAATAAAATATTTAATTTATTTATTAAATGTGCAAAATATTTTTTATTTATATAATTTTATATATTTTCTTATTATAAGCTTGTTCCAAGTTTATATATAAATCGAGAGTTTGGAGAGGGAGGAAGTAGCTCGAGTAGAAGAGGAAAGGATAGCCCCCCGCTTAACAAGGAAGATCACTCATATAATGATCTGTGAGATCCTATATCAGTTGGAAAGGGAAATGAAACATTCTTTATAAGAGTGTGAAAACATCTCCCTAGTAGACGCATTTTGAAATCGTAAGGCTGACGATAATACGTAACAGATCAAAGCAGATAACATTTGTTAGCTGTGGGTTTAGGTTGTTACAAGTGGTATTAAAGCTAGACATTCAGCGGTGTACTAGTGAGGATGCTGGCCCTTAAGGGAGGTGGAGTGTGAGATCTCACATCGGTTGAGAGAGGGGAATGAAACATTTATTATAACAGTGTGAAAACCTCTCATTTCTAGACGTGTATTAAAATTGAGAGGCGGAAGATGATACGTAACCGACAGAAGTGGACAAAGGAGGAATTGGAATTGGAAGCAATCACCTTAAGAGCTTGGTGGGCTTCTTGAGGTTTCTGACTCCAAATGGGCTTTTCGTTTGAAAGCAAGCCCAAGACGGAAATGAAACCAGATAGCTGATTACGATAGTGTGGAATTTGGACATTTTCGTAATTTATATTTTACTTATTAGACGTATTTAAAACAAAAAAAAAAAAACAATAATAAATTTTTATTTTATTTTTAAAGAATCAACAATTAGGTAGTTGTGGATAAATTCCGAAACGACGTCGCTTTGAGAGACAGTTTGGAAGTTGTAACCACAAATGAAATAACTATAATTCATGTTCATGTGTGAAATGAACTGTTCAATAACACAAATATTAAAATAAAAAAACTGATCATTTCATCATTTATATAAATCCGTATTTTTCAAAAATTAATAAATAGTTGAAACAATAATTCAAATAAATAAATAGTTTTTATTTAATATATATTTTTTTTTTCCGAATAAATGGTACTAATTAAAAAAATAAAAAATCTAAAAAAAATATTGGATTAACCTAAAATTTTAGGTTGATTGAGTCGATGATTTAAACCACCGGAATAGAATAGAGTTCACAGCCTAACCTAACTTAACTCAACTCTTTATTTTTTAGTTTTCAAATTATTATTTTTTAATTATTAAAAAAAATTACTCGTATACTATACATATTACATTAAATATTAATAATTAAAATCTCATAAAATTCAAATATGAAATATTTATAAGTTATAATACATCATTACGTCCGTTGCAAATGTCAAATATCTTTAATTTTCATTAGAGTACGGTAAGATTGTATCTTAGTTTCATATTGGTCAGGTCAAGAACCGAGCCAAATTTCAATTTTTCGAAAATTCAAACCAACCTAAATCAGAAAAATCTAATTCAACCTAAAAAATTATTTTGATTTTATTTATTAAAATTATTTTTTTAGAAATTAAAAAAATAAATAATTAACAAATAGAGTTTAAATTATTTTTTTAATTTCAATACTTTATTAGCAGAAAATACTAAAATTAGAAATATGGCAGTAAAGAACGTGGGTTGACTCGGGTGGTTAAACTCCAACAAATAAAAAACAAAACGTGTGGAGCATTATGCAGTGAATTTTGGGAGCTGTGCGAGCTGCGTGGCTGCGCGGGCATTACTTTAATTTGACTTCTAATCCATTATTACCTTCTTAATGCGCGTTTTAGTTTGTGCTTAGCCTTTTTTTTTTTAATTTTTAATATAAATTTCAGAACATTATTTTCATTCTCTTGTGGTCCTAAAAATCTTCCATTATCTCAAGATTTGGTTTCTATTTAACCTTTTTTAAATCAAGTTATTAAATTATAAATATAAATTGAAATTAGAATGCTAGAGATGAGTTTTATATATATATTAATTATGTGACGTTCGAGATGGTATTAAAATGAAGCTTCATCTGGTAGGTTTTGGTTCGAGGACGAGCTAAGGTAAAAGTTATAGGACATGTGATGGCATACAAATTAAGAAAACATAAATAAATTGATATCACGTTCCAATGAGAGTAAGCATTAATATGTGAATTTATGACTAAAAATAGTTTAAAACAAATATTAGTTGCTGTTGGATGAAAATCCGACGTACGCTAATCTAGGGAACAATCATGCGTTTATAATGAAATAATACTATTTCCATTGGTATAAAGTCTTTTGGGAAACCCAAAGCAAAGCTATAAGAGCACTTATACTCAAAGTGAACAATATCATACCATTGCGGAGAGTTGTGTTCATTTAACATTGTATCAGAACTATGCCTTAAACTTAGCCATATCAATAGGATCCTCAAAGGAGTCGAGCCTCGATTACGGGAATATCATATATTTTATTTATTATTATTATTTTGAAATATTACATTCGTGTATTCACTCGATACAAGTCTAGTTTTTTAGATTTGTGTGTCCAAGAAATCTTGTAAATATTTCATGTAACCAAACATATGGGGTCCTCATATTTAATACCATGCTTATATGAATTATCATTATTTTGAATTAAATATTAAAAATGCATATTAATAATATTTTTTTATTAAATTTATTTATTTTCACAGTCGCGAAACATCTTTAAAAAAAAAAGGGAAACATGTATATTTAAAATTGACAATGACATGTCTATTTATTGTTTTAAAAAAATAATTATAAAAATTGTAAGAAATAGTAAAAATTTTTAGGGAAATAAAAATTTATAATAAGTTCATATAAATAACAACAAAATATATTACTTTTTTATTTTATTTTTAATTTGCATATAATAAAAAATCCCCAACGTCTTTCCTCCAACATTATTTCCATATTTTCACTATCATTTATTAAATATTAAAAAAGAAAACTAATAGTAGGTAAAATAAAAAGTAAAAATTAATTACCGCCCCCATTTATACCAATTAAAATATTAGTTGGTCACTAACGGATCCCACGTTCCCTTATTTTTTTAATAAAAAATTGACATTTTTAACATTACGTACACCTTAGTCAGCTGTATTCAAAGAAGACGGACAATAAAAACAAAACCCGAAAAAAATAAAAAATAGTGAAGATTATAGGAGAACGGTATAAGTGTCAAAGTTTTGAAATTTGTAGTAATTATATAAATAAATAAAAAATGTGTATAAGCATAAGATAATAATAAGCGGATGATTAATGCTGAAATCCAAGCAGTTGGTACGCTACCAGACAACTCACGTGGAAAGATTCACCTTTTGGCTATGAGTTGGTATTTGGTAAACCCAATCCCATCCAAAATCCTAATCCAATTTTCACCCCATTTTTTTTTAATTAAAAATGATTATAAATATTATTTATTTGTTTATTTATAAAATTATAATCCAAGGTATCCGATGCTCCAAAACGCACCGTTTTGGGCTTGGATCTTCGCGATTGAGGTTCGTTTCCTGCCGCCGCTACTCCACGCGCGTGATCCCACCGTTACATTTTTTGCAAATTTTACTGACTTATTCCTCCTTTAAATATTATTATTATTTATGTATTTTAATCAGATTAATTCACCAAATAAAAAATAAGTGTATCCTATGTGTTGGATGAAAGTCACACGTCGACTAATTTAGGGAGTGTTTATGCGTTTATAATAAAAAAAATACTATCTCTATTGGTATGAGATGTTTTAAAGAAGCCTAAAGCAAAACCATGAAAGCTCATGCTCAAAGTGGACAATATCATACCATTGTGGAAAGTCATGTCGACGTGAATTTAAATAAAAATAAAACAAGTATGGATCTAACCTAAGGGCTACCAACCAGACATGAACACGAATACCTTAACTCTAATTCTATGGTCTTGCCATCATCCGTAGAAGAATCTTACCTTTACCTGAAAAATAAGAGTAGCACGTGATTGAGTATTTCTAGAAATACTAAGTAACTGTAACAACTCAAGCCTACTGCGAGTAGATATTGTCCCCTTTAGTTCATTATATATCGTCGTCAACCTCATAATTTTAAAACGCGTCTACTAAGGAGAGATAACTAAAGCCTACTACAAGTAAATATTGTTCGTTTTAGCTCATTACGTATCGTCGTCAACCTCATAATTTTAAAACGCGTCTACTAAAGAGAGACAACTCAAGCCTACCGTGAGTAGATATTGTCTGCTTCAGCTCGTTACGTATCGTCATCAACCTCATAATTTTAAAACGCGTCTACTAAGGAGAGACGTCCACACCCTTATATGAAATGTTTCGTTCACCTCTCCACTCCAACTGATGTAGGATCTCACAGTAACTTTACTGTTGGGGTCGAGACATGCAAGTGCATGTGATATAGTGTTTGTTGGCTATGTTTGGAACAATCTAATTATTTTGATAATATTTTTAATTATTATATTTTGTTAAATTAGAATAGTACAAATAAAGGGTGGAAATTCAAGACCATATATGATTATAATAAACAAGAGAATATTTAAAATTTCACGCAAAAAGTTTGTCTGGATCGATGTTCTCATGCATCCAAACTTGCAAACAAAAATTCAAAAGAAAAAATAAATAAAATAAAATTAAAAAATTGGGAAATGCCACGTCAGATCCGTGGCATGTTTAAGCAACATTATGGTAGGTTTGAACAGCAAGTTCCTTTCTTTTGCATGTGCAATCATATGAGTATGTCACGAGAGACGACATACGAACATGTAGAAAAATAAAAGGTGCGAGTGATGTGCACGCGCTGTTGAGCGCGTGTGGGAAAAAGCATGGATTGGACTAACGAACTTTCTCTGCAGCAGTGTCCACATGTCTATGTCCAAAAAGCAAGAGAGCCCACGACGCCCAG